TGAATCAACAAGAACCAAAGGTCGGTTGCTGACGAAAGCCACTTTAGCGGCAATTGTCAAACCGCCTCTCTCTCCCTCCCTGCCCTCCTCCCTCTCTACCTCCGCTCCTGTCATGTTGATCAGAACTGGCAAGTTGAAGCAGCTTTTTTCAGGAGATGAGATATACGGGTATAATGACGCAAATTTTACAACTATTTAAAAGGTGTTCTCGATAGCAATACTTACCTGCACAGTCGCTTTGGGTAACCAGGCCACTGCCACAAAGAAACGTTCACGCATGGTGAAGGAAGTACCAAAAACGGCGAAGAAAGAAGCGATAAAACGAAACGTCAAGCCGATTCCAAGCACAAGACACCCAAAAAATATGGTATTTGACTGCACCTAAAATTACTGCGTTGAATGCGAACAATAAAATGAGAAAAATGCTAAGCTTCCAATTACTCTCCTAAACGGACCAAAAATTATTTTAACTGTTATCGTAGGCATGGAATATACTAAACAGTAGCAAGAACTTGACTCTACACACCATTTCAAAGCTGAGTTCGAATCCAATTAGGCCAAACAAAAGCGGTTGAAAGGCAAGGTGCCAGAGATTGGCAAGATGATCCTCCTCGGGAAGGGGACCCTGTAAACAAGCTGCATTGAATCGATAATCAACAAAAGCAGCTATAGATACTTCAGCACGTACTTCTTTCTTCCATGAGTGACCGGCAACAAATGCAGCCACCAAGACTGCTATGGCTCCTGCACCGTCCACACCATATCTAATTGTAGCAAAAAGAATGGCGGTGGAAAATGTGAACAAAAGCGATAGACGAATAAGGTGTAGGTTTTTCACTTCTTTTCTCGGTAGGACGTGGAGCAAAAATCCTAAAATCGATAAGGTTACAGACACTCTGAACCCAGGAGATAATGTGACAGAACACTGATCAAAATCGTACCCATTACAGTTCCAAAGAATATGCCAGCGAAAACCTCAGCGGGAGCGGCCAGGATCGTCATCAACGGACTGCTGCCTTAAAACAAATCAACAAATGAACGAGCGAAACCAATTTGCCCAATGAAAACGCGATGTAGCAGGAGCATACTATCGGCCAATCACGGAGTAGTGAATGAACTAAAAAGTT